ACACATGAGCCAAAGCTTAATGCTGGAACAAGACTGATTTACTGGAAGCAACAGGCATTCAATTTATACAGTAACAGACTCCTCCTCTGGGCCAGGCTACATAATTGAGTTTCAGCAACATACTAAACTCAATTATCTGCTGGCCAGAAACATTACAATTTTCAACATTTTTAGAAAAATACTTTCTGCATAACATAGAAACATATAAACCACATCCCTGGGTAGCTGAGGATACTGGGAGTCACATATCCAAATTGCACGAAAATCCGTTTGGTAGTTTCTGTGTCGCATCGTGTGGAAGTTTGACCGGCTCGCCATGTGGTGGTGTCCGATTTAGAGTTCCATGAAATCAGTAGCAAGAGCCGGTCTCTGTTCGTGCAGAATTACACGAAAACTACCATAGGTATGTTGCAGCTGGTTACATGAGAGTGCTCCCCTCGTTCGGTAGATTAAAACTCCCGAAAGCTGGTTTGATACTATGGGTGGAAATAGGTCAGACGGGACTTCAATAATGACCGGGCGTTCGTGTGATTGCCATGCCAAAAACATTTCCAGGCAATCCACAAGTAAGTCCCGCTGGCCGCATTTGGGAGATTTAACATGGCCACCTAGGAGCACTCAATTAAGTTGCGTTATTTTGTGTGGTTACTCTGTGTTCTAAGTTCTGATTGCTACCCAGGGTGGTCTCCGTTCCGTAGAACGAATACATTTCTCGAACACATAATTAAAACAAATCGTTCCAAGGCAGTTAAAGAGCAGGGAGAGGAAACAACCGAATGAACACAGGTAAATACAGGGAAATCCTTTACATATCACTTTTTGCTTTGTTGCATAAATTCTTCACTACCTTCACAGCGGATTCAGCTTTGCAGTTAGCCTGTGGATGTCGTGATGAAGAAGCCACATGCTCGGACTCCCATTTAGTTTCTGAATTGTAAGTTTGCAAACTGAGGTTCATTATCAGAGATAACTGTATCTGCTTGGTCGTGAAGGGAAACCAGCTCCTGGCACCTCTTAACTGTACTTTCAATGGATAAGTCAAGAAGAAGTTAAATTTCCAAGAAGTCTAAGTAATGATCGACTAATATCAGGTACTCTTTTCCTGCATAGTTGAATAAGTCCATACTGACTATCTATCAAGGACGTTTAGATATCTCATGTGACATCATGGTTTATTTTTGTTGCAAATGTTTATATTTATTATAAGTTGAACAATTGCTGATATAGTCTTTGAAATCACCTTGAATGTCAAGCCAATAAACCGTATCTTGAGCTTGTCTGTAGCATGTCTCACCCCCAATGCGGCTTGAGTGCTAATGCTTCATAACATCTCTGCTCTCATTGACTTTGGCACTGTGGCTGTTGGCCCTTTGTACAGGATACCATATTGTATGCTGATTTCAACTCTGAAGGACCAATATTCCTTTACAATTGCAGTTCCTGCATCCTTTTCATCTGGCCACCCACTCAGAACTATAGACTTCAGTGCTTGCAAAGCTGTATCTCTGCTGTGTGCTGTATGAACTGATGTAGCTGATGATCTGTGACATTAAGATAGTCTGCGCCATTGACTTCGGCAAACGAAGTTTGTTCCTGCTGCAGCAAACAAACTGTAAGACGCTCATGCTCACCTTCAGGTACCACGTGTTCTATTGTAGCTCTGTTTAGGGCATCACATCCTGGCTTGTAGACAACATTGAGATTGTAATGCTGTAATGAAAGCATCATGCTCTGGAAACACCTGAGAGCACACAAAAGAGGCTTCTTAAAATGGCCAATAGCAGTTTGTGATCAACTTCAGCTCTGATTGCAACCCGGCCATAAATGATGGAAACACTGGCAGGCTGAAATAGTCCTTAAAAATTCCTTCTTAATCTGACTAAAGAAAGTTCTCTGGATGCAAATGCAATAGACATCCTTGGCCAATCTTGCTTGAGTCACTTTGTATTTTAACATCATAGTATTTCAATGCAGGGTAGCTGTGACCAAGCATTTTATTTTCTCCACTGCCATGTGATGCTTCCAAAAGTCTTCTCAATAACTCACATACCTCAGACAAGTGTGGCATGATTTTGCTAGATGTGTGACAAAGCCAATAAAACACTGTGATTTGATGTCACCAGATTGTGGCATGTCTACAATGACAATAATATTATCCTGGTAAGCTTGTAAGTCGTGTGAGGTCAGGATATGTCCATGGAAGTGGACAACTTGTACCTTAAATTGCAATTTCTTTATGGTGTGTGTGGCAAACAGAACCTCGCCACGAGCATTTGGAGGGGCCTGCTTGTCAGCCTCCTGCCAAAAGACTATGGGCTGGACTGTAAAGAGCCATATTTATTCCCCCTGGTTCCCCTGGTTTGGCACTTTCCATTAGTGCGCATAGAACCGAACGCTAGCTCCCTGGCGGCTGTTCGCATGGACCAAAACCACGAATGGACTTCGGGGGACTTAGCCGCGAATGCCCTGGAACTATTTTCGTCATGAAAACTTTGCGGTTCCTTGTCGGTCCCCCAGCGGCACTTAGCTGCGATTCTATGGAACGGTTTTGGGCATGGGACTATGTGTGCGGTCGGTCAAACTTTGACTTCCACGAAATTCCTGAACCCCTGAACCGATCGGAGTGATTTTTGGATATGTTGGTCACCCAGATCGGGACTATCAGGGGATGTAACTTTTGTGGTGGTTTCGTGTGTTTTGGGGGTATTTTGGGGGGTTTGTAAAAATTTGTGCTTTTTGTAACTGGAGATAATTGAGTTAATACAGTACTTGACTCAATTATCTCCCAGGTACAGTGGAGGGTTTGACCTTGTTTGTATGGGAGTGTCCTGGATCTGAGAGCCAATGTGATTGTGTATTTGTTTCTACTGTGGTTTACTCTCAGGTCCAGGGGGGAATGCCCCTTGCATGGGGACTGTCACAAGTGTTGTCCCATTAAAATGAGTTCCTGCTTACCCTCAACATAGAGTCTGATCTTATGTGTGGGGGAAACGGCTGTATCTGCCTTGGGGATTGCTATATCACTATACTCCCCTGGGATTATAATCACTGGCTCTTTTAAGTACTCTTGGAAGCTGGATCCTGGTCTTGGGTCCAGGGTGGGTGGAGGACAGTGAGACCCCAACCAACCTGTAACACTGGAAGTGAGGACTACAGTGCTGATGGTGTCTGGTGCGGTGCTTGTGGTACTCAGTAAGCACTAAGGAAGCAATGATTGGCGGAGGCACCCAGTCAGGGTGCCAAGTGGTCCGTCACAGTGAGTCTCTGCATCACCTGTCTGCAATGATCCAATAGCGGTATTAGCTTCTCATCATGTCCATGCTCAGCTTCTTCATCTTTATTATCACAGCCAACTATAAGAATGCCATTGGCTATTGAATCAATTAAATTAAGTTGATACACCTCTTTCTGCCACAGGGAGTCCATAATGTGGCAGTGTAGCACTCTTTTCATCCAGTTTACACTGTAGAAAGGCATAAAGTGTTTTAAATAGTTTGTGCAAAAACAACCTCAAGTATTGGCATTAATGTCAGACATATCATGCCAGAAAATATGAAAATGACTGTACTAGACACATTGCAGGTCACAATTACGTATAATGGGATCACAGCCATTTTTGTAGCTATTGAAAACCAAATAGCAGAATTTTTTTTTTTTGACATTACGAAAAGTTGAGATAGCGAGTTGTTCATTGATACCCACATGCCTTATTAGACAGTGATCTGATTCAATACACGACTTCAAAACACAAATAATTTTAACCAGGGCAGTAAACAAATACTATTAATAAAATTATTAATTTTACATAATTTTCACAAAATATTCATTGTCATATTTGGTCCCACAATCATCCCTACATTATGTAATATGACCTTCTCAGAGCCATGTTCAGAACCTTTCGGATCAATGCAAATTCTATTATTTGTGGGCTTCCTACTAACAACCATGTTGCTTATTCGGTCAGTTGGCTCTGATACTGAAGAAAGATGTCCTTTAGCTTCACACTTATCAAGTTGCACTTTGACTTGTGGTTTAATGGCTACTGGCCCATTGTGTGGGGCACATTGTACTGGGGGAATGGTAGGATCAAGTCCAAAATGAACCTCTACTGGAACAGATACTACTGGGCTATTAAACACATCACTATAGACATTGAGGATTTGCTGTTTTGTCGGTGGCTTAGTCAGTGGACTTGCCAGGGGTTTTGCAAGCTGCGTATCAATATTGTGGATCTCAGCAGGAATTGTGAATTGCATCAGTCCCAGGCACTCACATGGTGAACCAGACAACAGCGGTTTTGGTTGGCTTCAACAATCTCAAGTTCAAGTTTGTGCGTACAAACACATATGTAGCCCCATGTAGCCAAGCGCAGCTAAGCGGAAAAAGGCCTTGACAGGGGTTAGGAGGCGGGCCTAGGAGGAAGTAAGCAAGGGAGTGGAGTTATGGGTAAGTGGGTTTGGTTATTTAAATGGGCAGCCATTTTAGTTAATTCATTCTAACTTCCTACCTGGTTAAGTTTGTGTTCGCTCCTGTGGGCACAGATTTGGCTTGGTAGGGCTTTTTCTTTTGTCTCCCTGCAGGGCCGATGGAGGAAGTGGAGCGACTGCTGGAGCGGATCCGGTCGGCGGCGAGGCACCAGGGGGCTGACTGGCTGAAGGCCCAGTTAGGCCCGGCCCTGGCGGCGGCGGCGGACCAGGACGGCGGCGGACGACGGCCTGTTCGGGCCAGGAGGCCTCCGGAGCGGCTAAGCCCGGGTGTGGGACCCGGTGAAGACATCCCTGGTGGTCCGGGAGGCTCCGGTGCGGGCGGCAGCAGGCCCGGCAGCCGCGTGGTAGAGGCCCCGCCTCCCCGCCATCGGCCGGAGCCTAGGACCAGTGTCCGGCGCCGGGGGGACGGTCGGGACGGGGCCGTCGCGGCTGCCGGGTCGGACGTGGCCGGGCGGTCCCCTGGAGGAGCGGGCAGCATGGAGCTGCGGCCCGGGAGGGCGCACGCCCCGTCGGAGGCGGAGATCGGCGGGGCCGGGACCGGGAGGACACGTGGCCGGTTCCCGGCCCCAAAGGCAAGTGCAGGGGGCTCCGGCCGGGGCCCCCTTGGCGGGAAAAGTGCTGGGGGGGTCCTGATAGGAAGCGGAGGGCGGAGGGCCCAAGTTGGGGGTGGGAAGGCCTCCCAGGGACCGGGGGTGGTGGATGGGGAGGGCATAGGGGTCATAGGTGGGGGGAGTAGTGGTAGGGGTGGGGGGGCTGTGGGTGAGGAGGGACTGCTGGGCTCCCCTGGTAGGGGAAAGGGGGCCTCCTTGGATGCTGGGGCTAGGCCGGTGTGGGTAGGGTCGGGTAGGCCTGGTTTAGGGGTTGGGGGGGCCAGTCTAGTTGAGGGGGGTCTAGGTCCCCTTAGTCTGGGAGCCAGTTCAGGTGGGGGGTCAGGCTCTAGCCGGAGGGGTGAGCGTTTGGGGGTGCAGGGTAGTAGGCGGGGGGGGTCCGGTTCAGGGTCCTGTAGTGGTAGTCCCTCTCCGGTTCGGGAAGTAGAGCCACGGGGGAGGAGGGGGAGGAGGGGGAGGTCCCGGCAGCGCCGCTCCAGGTCAGGGAGCTCAGGAGAGAGCGGGTCTAGCGTTCCCAGGGGTGGTCGGCGGGGACGTATGCCCGGAGAAGACAGGAGGAGCCGTAGCCCTAGGGGCTCCCGCGCGCGGCGCGTGCAGGGGGCACAGCGGGAGGCTTTGGCAATGGGCAGGCGCTCCCAGGGTCGGGACGGGGGGGATGCGAATACTCAGTGCACCCTACCCAGGACTTCTTCTCCTCTTTCCAGGTCACGGAGCTGTTCCATATCGACACGGGCAAGGCACCGGTTTGGCTCCCCGGTTGGCGAGGCATCGGCGGGAGTCGCTCTCCCTGGACATCGGGCGGTCGACGACGCAGCCCCTGCCGCGTCAGTTGCAGGGGGCTTGGCCGGTGAGTCTTGTGGGTCACTACACTCCAGTTCCTTGGTTAGCACACTGC